AAGACAATACTCTTGTTTAAATTTGTTTTACAAATAATTTTACTTATCTTTAATTAAATATTTATAATATTTGGAATTTGGTAGATAAATTAATTCTACATATATTAAATTATTTCTTATAAATTTATTATAATGCAATTGAAGTATGATCGATAACTCAAAAAATTCTTTCTTTATTTATTTTAAATAAATAAATGACAGCCTACTCTTATATCATTGTTGGTATTCAAACGATTATTAATAGAACAAAGTACATTTCCTTGCAGCGTTTTGTCAAATCCCCGGTTATATATATATATATATATATTAATAAATAAATTATTAAAATAGCGAAAATCTATAAGACCCTGATTTCTACATAACGGTCATGAGATAAAATGGAGAAATAATATTTTAATATTATATTATCTATGCTAATATATAAAGGGAATACTACTTTTAATAATTGCTTTTAGTTTTCATTTTACATGGACTATTTTATCCTTTGTTTATTTTTCATAATTCTCTAAGACTATTTTTTTCTGAGTAAATTTTTATTTTTTTAGGGTTTTCTTTTTTATTCTGAAACTATCATAACTACTTATAAAAAATTATTTTTTTAATATAATATAAGTACAAAGTGCCTTTCTCCTGCTACTTTATATAAAGGTAAAATAATAAAATTAAAATTAAAATAATTTAATAATAGAATAATGTTATAACCGTTAAAAAATATGATATATTAACTCTCATATATTAAATAGGAATCACTATTTTGTGTGAGAGCATTTAGAATTTTTTTTGACAATTTTTTTTAATTTTTTTAATTTCTTGTCAAGTTTCTATTTATCATAATTATTTATAAATTAAATTTTAATATTTTAAAATAATTTATCAATAAATAAAAATCATATTATGTTACAATATAAGTTATTTATCATAAATATCTAAAATATAATTTATATGTTTAAAATTTTTTATTTATATAAATTTTAAATATGATTTACATATTCAAAGAAATATTTATTTGTATATATAAATTATTAAAAATTAATAAATATTTAGCCTATGCATTGTATAGGGTAAAAAAATACAACAAATAATCAAAATAAAAATTATATAAGTATAAACTCAAATACTAATACATATCAATGTTATATTAAGTATACAATGGAAAATGTTAGTAATATACTCTCTAACATAGTCTTTTAAACATAATCTTTTTATTTGATTGTAATTTATTGGAAAACACTAAATTTAGTGAATCTCACGTCGTATTAAATGACTCTCTCTTTTGAATTTGTAGGTTTTAATAAATTCTAACCAATGAGAGTGAGTGTATTAAGAAGAGTGTGTAGAAAAATGTGTTGCTAGCCCACCTCAATATACCATTCATACTATAAATGTTATTTTTTTATTTAAAAATTCATCAATATTAACACAAAAATAAATTGCAAAGATTCAAAAAATAAAATGAAAACAATTGTTAAATATCATTGTGATCATTAAAAGATTATAAAAAAATTTGTCACAATCAAAGGCTTGGGTACTTGAGTGGTACTATGTTATGAAAAACTTATCTCACGCTTAGGTGATAGGCTACAGATATAGGTATTATATGTATGGGTTCAATTAATTTCTATACTGCTTTATGGAAAAACTCTATGTCATGCTCGGGTGATAGGCTAAACATGTCCTCAAGAAACACTTCAGGAAACTCACTCATTATAGGTTTCTTACTTACTACAGCCTTACACTCCAACTTCAAGGAAACCATCATGTATGCTTAGGCATTCTTTTTAAAAAAAAACGCCTTAATCTAGTTGGCAATTGAGAAATCCTTACTCATACTCACAATAGATTGACTAAAAACAATAGTTTTATTTGAACGGCTTAATAGGACATGGTTGGAAGATAACTAGTTCATACCAAGAAAGACATCTAACACTCATAGTCTCTTTCCTAGGGTTGGGAAAATCCCTCGAGAATTGTCTCTTCCTTTGATAGTTATAACAAGTCAACTCTTGATCTGGACACTCATATGACTTATGATCGAGACGGTTGCATCTGTAACACCTCAACTAGTCTATAAGAGCAGAACCCACACTATTGTCACGCGTAGATTGCCTTGGACTGTTGTTGACTCCTTTCTTGAGATTGTTGACTCCCTTTGTCAGTGTCGAGAATGGCTTATAGGAACCATACATCTTTTGCTCCCTTACTAGGTTCACACCCTTGTAATGTGATGCATAGGCCCTACATTCTCATCGTAAACGCGACACTTTATAGCCTAAAACATCTCTTCCACCCTGAAGATCCCTTCTCACTAGTAGAAAAATAGTCTTTTACGTCACTCTTTTCTCGTCGGTCAAGATAAACACCGACGTAAAAAAGACGCGGTGGCATTTTTGTAATTTTTTTGAACTTTTTTATGTCGGACTTAATAGGGTCCGACGTAAAATGTAAAATCTACGTCGGATACATCTAATATCCGACGTAAATTTTACATTTTACGTCGGACTTTATTATATCCGACGTAAAAATGCGTGGGAGCAGAGGTTTAGGATAATAAAAGGCATGGCTTGGGGGTTGGTTTATTTGCACGAGGAGTGGGAGCAAACGGTGATTCACAGAGACGTTAAAGCAGGGAAAGTATTGTTGGCGAAGCTTTATGAGCACGGTTCCAACCCTAGCATGACCAGGGTGGTGGGGACGTTGGGTTACCTCACGCGAACGGGGAAGCCCACAGCGAGTTCCGACGTGTTTGCGTTCGGGGCGCTCATGCTGGAGGTGGCGTGCGGGCGAAGGCCGATTGAGGCCAAGACATTGCCGGAGGAGCTCGTGCTGGTGGAGTGGGTGTGGGAGCGGTGGCGCGTGGGGGCGGCGCTGGCGGTGGTGGATTCGTGCCTGGGAGGGGTGTTTGATGAGGTGGAGGCTCTGCTAGTGCTGAGGCTGGGGTTGTTGTGTCCCTTGTTTATGTATTTTTCATTTCTTTTTCCCTGTTTACTTTCCATCTTCACTACTAGTTCTTTTCTTCATTTTTTTTTTTGAATATTATTATTTCAAATCTTCTACGTTTCTTCTGCATCTGGAACGGGCCGTTCTGCAAGCAGAACGAGCCATTCTGCTTGCACTCGTTATTTTTTTTATTTATTTTACTGCTTTTTTATGTCGGACCTGTTAATGTCCGACGTAAATTTACGTCAGTGTTGCAACACTGACATAAATTTACGTCTCCCACATTAAGGTTGGTATTTTTTCAGACGTAAAAAGGTCAAAATGGCCGACGTAGAAACCTTCTTTTGTACTAGTGTCTAAAGCCCCATTAGGATCATATTCACCCCTAAAGGTAGGTGGATTA